ACTGGTGTAACTGGTCATTATAAGGACTGGTTCCAGTTAAATGAAATGCAGTTGCACCAAATATCCGCTTGATGTGCATCATGGACCACTTAGAATCAACTGGAACCAGTTGGAAATTTCAACTGGTGGTAACTGGTTTTTCCTTCTGGGTTATTATTTGTTTTCGTTTTCCAGAGTTATGACACTCAACATTTCCAATAGTCTTGTGGATTTGTCTTTTTTGGTTATCTGAGATTATCAGTGTTCTATTGTGAAGGATGACTTATTTTACCAGTAATGGATGACTCCGTTGTCTCCGTAACACTGTGTATGTCATCGTACATTCTAGTTTAGTTTATAATTGTATTATTCAGACTTACACTTTGGAGATGTACTTTCTTATTAGAAAATGCCAATTTCAGGTTCAATCCAAACACATTATCAGATGTGTGAAATGTAAGTCATCATATATACGCAACTTTCATGATGTTTTTATTTTAATATGGAAGCAAAAAAAGAAGAAAACATAGAAGTTTGGTTCAATGAAATTGCTCATGCAGAGGGAGTGTGGGTGGGGGTACTCCTCTGTACAAGAAGGTGTGATAATAAATCTAGTTGCATACTTGCCAACATAACACACGTGCTATGATTGAACTAAAATACTTTTAGGGTTATTAATTCATAGAGGAATAAACACAATGATAACATGCCACTGCATGGCTTCCTATGATGACAAGTATTAAAATGTTATCAAATGATCATAAAGTTGCACACACCGGTATTATAAGTACTATTCGAAGGGGAAAATAAATGTAGGTTAATGATGTGCAACAGTCATGTAAGGTTAATACCTTGACTTTTAAACAGCACTTCTCCCTTTTTAATTGGCTTTTTCCCCCTTCTCCTTGTCTTCTCCCTCTAGTGTTTCTTATTCCAACTCCCTGTATTCCCCCGTCTCTTCTTGTCTCCTTCCCATTTTCTTCCTCTTTCTCCCACTTCCCCTTCACCTCCTTCCTTCTTTCCTAACTATATCGAGTAGGCCTATGCAGTTCACAGTAAAAAAAATCCTGGATTAAGAGATTGATAATTGGCTCAATAGATAGCAATATCCTCTGTCTTTTGCAATCTGCAAGTTTAAAATTATATATGATAAACAATTATTTTCGAGAACTGGCAGGTATTACCTTTTTTGAGAGAAATGTTTATGGCTTAGTAGGCCTACGCTCTTGTCCATGCATTATGCTAACATTTCTTGCCAACCCTTATGGAATAATGATTACATTAAAAATTAAAATAGACAATAGCTCAACATATAGTAAAACAAAAATGTGTAGAAAGGGAGTTCGTTTTGTTAATGATATTTTAGAGACAAAATATGTGATTTGTTTTTCTTCTCTCTGGAACATTTCAAAGAGAAGTATAATATTCAAATAAATTTTCTTTTTTATCGTGGATTATGCGATGGAATTAGGCCTAACAAATGAAGATGTTGTATTGCCCTTTAGGTGCCAAAACATGAGTCGGTCGGTCGGAAATATTTTGTTCCCCTTTTTTATATACATATTTTTCTAAAAAAACGGTAAAAAAAACATAATTAAAATTAAAAAGCCGACAGTAGGTTTCAAGATTTTGGGGTCGGTCGCCAAGGGTTTAACAATTGTACTATTTTTAACAAGGTGCCAAACCTCTTTTCCCACTACAATGGCAATTGTAAAACGTATTAAAGGATATGTTCACATATCATACGCAATTGTATTAAAGAGAAGAAAATGAGTAATATGTAGGCCTACAAGTTTTCTTAAATTGAAATGCATTTTCGACCTGAATGATAAGAGTTTGGAAACATCATTGTTCCATTGGATTTGATTGTACCATTGATGTGGGCTTACGATGGTTTCAGTTTAAGGTTTTTCAACGCATTTACGAACGATCTATGTTTAAAGTGACTCGGTAACATTGTTGAAGGCTGATGAAAAATTGCTTAATTTTTGTTTAAAATGTTACCTATTATATTCCTTATACTGTACTAACCGTCTGTCATGAAACAATCCTGAAAAATTCTCAAACAACGGAGATGTCTATGGTTTTCTTTGAAGGCGTCACTGTGCAACACCCTCTAACAGTGATTAACAGTAAATTCTCCCAACCATTTTTTGAATTTTCCCAACCGTTTTTCCATGGAAAAAGCAAAAAAAAAAGGGCTATTAAAAATCTGGCATCACCTCAAATGTCTGGAATGGTATGTAAAGCCAATTTATTGCTTTGTGACGATTAAAATTCATCTGTAATTAAATTGTAACAATATAGTTAGGAAAATTAAGGAATCGATCAAATCAGTTTTTCCCTATTAATCATTAATAGGCCTATAATGGTCCGTTTTCACTCAAATGTTCAGATTATCTTTACTTGTACATGAAGCATTGAAGTCACTACTTTAGCACCAATTTCTCTCATCTTAACAATCTTACCAAGTCCCTTTAAAATGAATTTAGTCCCAATAAAAGAATTTAGGCTTACATTTTGAAGTGAACATATTAAAACAGTTATACATCTGCTATGTGATTGTACACATTTGAGATAGGTTGGAGCACTGGAGTGCTACGATAGACCGCGTTATCTCACTGCGGTGAGATAGCGCGGGGGGTAAGCGGACACTTTTTTTTGGTGACGAAATTTTAAAAATTGACACTTTCCTTCGTTGGGGGGGGGGCGGTAGGGCCACCTTTTTAGATCAGCCATTGGCATATTTTTTTTTTTTTTTTTTTTTTTAATAAAATGTTTTATTTAATTTTTGGGAGGCCGGGGGGCCACGTGCACCCTGTGCTCCCCCCCCCTGGATCCGCCTCTGGTTATTACCAAAGAAGAAAAAGGCAAGTCAGTCAATCAATAGCGCTGACAATGAAATCTAGCAAGTAAACGGGTTTCCTTGCATAATTTGAATATTGAGACACTGATAACGTTTATATTTCACAGATAGGACATTTAGAATTCCTGCAAAGTTCTACAGTATTTGATGTTGCCTGCAAAAGGGACATAGTATCTTTAAGTGCTTCGTTACAATGTATTTAATATAGGTTACCTGTTACAAATAATTGTATATCATTATAGTCAGAATGCGAATTGCATACATTGTTGCTAGGTAGGAAAACATCATGGCTTGTCCTACTTTACAACGTGTATTATATGCAATTCACATTTTTACTAATGAAATACAATTAGTAGAAACAGGTGAATGACATAATTTTCGACGAGGCACTTAAAAGAGACTTGTGCATGAAATTGGATTACATTACGAAAATGGTCTATTATCCTTCCCAAAATTAATGCATTTCACATAATTTCAAATAACTGCAAGGGGGAATATTTTTTTGTATTGTAAACACTTTTGAATTCCTTGTTCAAGACAGCGTTTGATTCCAGAGACCCTTTTGTCTATTGATCGGAAATGGTGTTCATGATATTGTTCTCTTGTGTATAAGATATGAACAAATAGCAAATCTAACTACCATGCAATTTATTTCCACATTCTATTTGGACTGGTTATGTGTATTTCAGTGTTTGGGGGGGGGGGGGCAGCGCAGGAAGCCGGTTCTTTTTTTTCTTCTCTAGATAGTGTAACAAAACTAGTAATCATACAATTTTAATAGATAGCGCACCCTTACCCCAGCAGATCTAACAAACTTAACCATGAACATTATAGTATTGCAGATTTTAATTATATATGAACTGCCTGCCAACCCAACAAACACATCTTTCCATTCTAAATCTTTAATTTAATTTAACTCAACAAGTTGTACTAAAGCCTGCCATATCCTTTGAACGCTCCCGCAGGATAAAATTAGTTGTTATACGTTTCTGTTTCCTGTTTACAAAACGAACATAAATTATCGCCAACAAAACCAAATCTATGAAGATGTGTATTAGTATATGGCTACATGCAATAAACTGAATTTAAATTATCGTTGTTTTCTAATGAGTAGAGTCATTAACAAATAGTTGTTTGAATTATTTCTCTATAAAATCATACTTATTTTGCAAATTATACGTTTGCTGTAGTACTTGTACTATAAAATAATCATGAATTGTTCCTGAACCCACATCTAAAACTTTTTTTTTAAACCTGAAATATGAAAATAAGTATTACAACTTAAAACATCAACTTTGAGGAATATTATTGAACCTGAATCTTCTTTCTATAACCTGGGTATCGCATCATGAATATCAATAATCATAAGCAAAGTATTACCTTTCAGTTTCATACTGAGGTTTACAAAATATTGAACAGACTTAACATGAGCTTTCTAAATCAACGTCTACGTCTACATCTATGCTGGTACTCGTCAAAAGCTTTTTAAGAAACTAAACGAGGATATCGTGGTGTGGTGTCTCTCATAGTGGTCACATATGATTAGTGCATAGTGCGTATATTATTAGTTGTGCGAGTAAAAACAGTACCTCCTATGATTTAGGCACTGATGGCTCCCTTTGAACTTCTCCACAGAGGGCAGTTCATGAAGTTGGTAGGAAGTCCCAGAGTGTTCTTGGGAAGAAACTTTGCCTGTAGCTGTCAGAGTTGGAGCTGGGTCTCATGAATCTGTGTCGGTTGAACGGAGTCTTGGTTGGATGTAGTCTGGAATTGGTGATTCGATCACTTGAACAATCCCAAATAATTTGATTCATATAACCGTCCAAATATCTTAAACTATTTGTCTCTTGCCATGCTTGCAACATTTCCATATAGTATTTCTTCCACCCACAAACTTAAATCCAGAAAGCTCCAACACCGGCGCTGATTGAATTGTTTGTCTCCATATAAAAGACGTTTTATCCACATTAATTATGCGCTCTAATTTAACGGACATTTCATAATTCATCATTCTTAATCACCCAAAGTCATAATCTTGATACATTATTGCCCGTTTAATTCGATCATTCCCCCTCCAAATAAATTGTAATGAAATTACACACACACGCGCACACACACGCACACACGGGGAGTGGTCTAAGGTAACGTCACTTACCCAGTACCGCAAGCAGCGTCGAGCACACGGCGGCATTTACGAGATTGAAGCTGGTCAAGCAACCATTGTTTGAAACCATCTGACCTATCAGCTAACACCCCAAATCGTCGAACAACATTATCGTCATCACATGCGTTAGAACTGTCCGATTGAGACATGGTTCAATGTCGTTAAATAAGCGACTGACTCAACACCCAAAGGTTGTACATGTTTCACGATATAGTCACAGAGCGCCGATTAAAGAAACGCACACACATTGCAGTGTATCGACTCATGCATTTGCATTGTAATGTTCCATTACGTCGCATTCAGACCACAACGCCCGCAATGAAAATTTACACAGCACCCGGAAATGGGATAAACCCTCACATTTGGTGTCTCGCGATTAGCATGATTTCGCGAGACTTTTCATTTCATTTCATTTCTTTATTGTGTCCATATAGAATAATTGTTTATATTTACATGAACAATCTTGTTTCAACATATGAACATAGGTACAACATATCATTGACATTCATAGGGCCCTGTTTAGGTATACATTAGATATAATATACATGATCATGACGAACACCTCCCTTGTCTTTTATTCTTATATGCTCTAATCTGAAGTAGGTATTTTGTTTAAAAAATCATTCCTTGATATGGTATAACAGTAGAGGTACAACAGTAAAGTAAGTACACTGAAACAAAATATATATTCGTGTAACATGTCAATAAGGTGTTTTGTATAGTGTTCACATTCTCTTCTCTTTACTGGATTTTATTAACAACTGTTATGGAAAGTGGAATGAATGGATAAATGCGGCGACTAGTTCTTGCTTTAAAAGATCTCAATCTTCGTCCGCTTTTCAGGTGTATGTACTGTTCATTAAGGGGTGAGTAAGATCCCCCCTCCCCTGGAAAAAAACGTGTAAAAACACGTAGTTTTACCTTTTAGGGGGATAGGCTCCCCCCCCCCCCCTCTTGGCGCTCAAGGGGGCTGTTCAAATTTCCAAATTTACGAGAGCAAAACAACAAAAGTGTGCTCACCACCACCCCCCCCCCCCCCCCCCCCCCCCCACTGAGCGACTTCTCGACCGGCGCGATTTTCAAACTTTTAGGGAACAAAAAAAAACAAAAAAAATGGCCCCCTCTTCTAAGAAATCCTGGATCCGCGCCTGGTTAGATCAGACATAATGGATAGGGCCTGACGCCAGTGGTATACTTCTCAGTTGTGTACATGCATATAAAGACATACTATCATAAAGCTTGCTTCATCTTGCAAGGTTTGAATACAAATGGAAGAAAGTGGCTTTGATAAACCCTCATTAGCTTTCTAAACAATCTACCTTCGCATACGACAATAGATGTATTGACAATACATGTCAACAAATATTTGTTTCTACTGCAGATAAATGTATTTTTGTTGACTGCCAGTAGTAGCCTTTGTGACCGAAAAGAGCTTGATTTGTCAGGTTTGCAGAATGGAGTGCACATTATAGTCCATACCAGGAGGGTGTTTCACAAAGACTAAGATTGACTTTAAGTTGGACTTAACTATGGCAGGCCATTCACGCCACTGGTTGCTCTCACTATTGGTCTCTCAATTCTTATCTTTAGATTTTATTTTCCCCTTCAATAATGAATTATCAAAAAATGTAAATTCTGTAAATATGTCACCATGATTTGTATGTCCCTTGAGAGACCAATGCCAGTAAATGGTGAGAGAAAATTGTGGGAGTAATGGCCTGCCATAGTTAAGTCCAACTTCAAGTTGATCTTAGCCTTTGTGAAACACCCCCAGATATCTTCTTTCTATACACAAACGACGATTGTGTTAGTATTGGTAGGATTAAAACAAAATATTTGTACTGATATATCTGTTTACGCTTACTGCCCTTAATGGACCAATAATCAGGTCAAGTCCTGGGCCTTTCTTAGTGTATTCTCCTTTTATTTGCATGCCTTTGTCATAATATCTCTGCTCCTATATTGCTGAAGTATCAATAAAGTGAAGTACCAACTCCAACAATATTTGGCTAATCATAAAAACACAAATACAAACCATGGCAAGAAAAAAGATTAAAAGGAGCAGGGGCAACTGGTGGGTAAGGGTACGCAAAAGTGAAATGTTACGCTGATGACCGGAGGCATGCCATTTGTTCCCCCCCCCCCGCATTTGCTACTCCCAGTACATTTACATCATTCAATCACTCTACTTTGAATACTCCACATATTAGTGAGTATTTATATCAAACAATTACCCCCAAAGAAGAATTCGAATGATGTTGTGACTAAAAAATAAAAAAATGCCCCCAAAATATGCATCGAGTCTTATTGTAAACATCATATATAGGGGTACCAAATAACATTTAAAACAAATTCTGATTTGCGAAATAGTATTTGAAAGGGCTATTAGAATAACATCTGAGAAACATATGTGTGGGAAGCTTTAAAATGCCATTTAGTGATTTATTATCTGATAAGCTGTTAGATATATAATTAACATGTTTATTCCATGATGGGTCTTTGCATAGTTATATACTCCTATATATGTGAGTCTTGTTGAGTAATTACAGCACCATTAAGTTGTATTTGTATATGAATCATTTTGTTTATGTTCTTAATTGTAGTACAGAACATTCAATAAAATATAATTTCAATTTCAGCCTCCGAACTGTATCTTTGAAGTATTTAACAATAAACCAACCAAACAAATATTAAGTATAGCGTGGCCTTTGCCGTTTTGAACGAGTGATATATACCTTCTACTTGTATTCAAGCCACTTCAGCTTAATTAAGATATGCATACCCAGGAAACTGTGGTTTTGATTTCATATTATGTCATTGTTATTTTTGCACTCACTGAGCTTGGGTGTCATGAGCGAATGTTTAAAGGGACTTAAGACATGACATGTGTATCATGTTTAAGTTACATTTAGTAAAGGTACTCGGGCTATACTACTCGAAATCAACAAATATAAATCCGACAGCCTTGTGTGGAAGGCATTGTGAAAAATGATTAAAGGTAAAGACCAGTTTTGGAAACGCCCACCACCCTTTCAAAAAATGAAATGGAAGCTTTTATTACCAATCATGTGAAAGTGTTTTGACTAGAATACGTAATGATACGGCTGCTATACGGCTGCAAGAGTCCCGTATAACAGTCTCAAGGGCCTTCTCACAATTTCTCTCATATTAAAAATGTATACTACCAAAGTCTACATCTAGTATCATGCAGGGCCGTCTCTAAAGGGGTTGGGGGTGTGGGGTGCGACCTCCACTCCCCCCCCCCCCACCTGTCAGGATATTGTCAGTAAAATTACGCTGCCGTCGGAAAAAAGAGAGAAGGGGGAGGGAATAAAGGGGAAAAAAGAAAGAAAGGAAAGAAAGGAAAATAAAAAAAGAAAGGAACAGAAAGGAAAGAGAAGAGAAGAAAGAAAGTGAAAAACATAAAAAAAGGGATGAGAGGAAAGAAAGTAAAAGAAAGAAAAGAAACAAAAAGGAGAAAGGAAAAAAAAGAGAAAAGGGAAAAACAAAATGGGGGATGAAAGAGAAGAGAGAGGGGGTAAGAGCCTGAGAAAGGAGGGTGGGAGTAAAATAGAGAAGGGTGGTTATTATGTGGAGTCGTCTCGTCGAGGGAGCAAGACAGACACGCATATAAGAGTTTTAACATTTTCGGGGAAACTTAATTCAGACTTAAGGATTAAGAGTCGAGAACGGTAAAACGAATCGTCTTCTTTATCTAATAATTTAAAGGTAATACAAAGTTTTGGTATGGGGTCATGAATTTGGTTCAAATGAACATATTGGAAGCATATGTGATCCTACAATATTCAGTGATCGTTGTCGCGGTTGAAATCGAGTCTAAAGTTATGAAATTGTAAATAATAAACTCTTAATGTTGTATAGCTCCCTTTCAATGTCAATATATTAATTATGCTATAAAACACCATTTCTTGACTAAACTCGACCGATTAGCTATTACGGTTTGGAAAATATATATCGTAACTACATATTCTGAGATTTTCATGGTCGCAGCTACCATTATACAGCCGTAGGCGCTATTTGAAATTCATCAACATTTACCGGGAGCACCGGTAAATTTTTATATTCAATTTTTCTCAAAAGCAGAAGTGTTTTAGGGGCTCAATTTTCTAGTGCTTATAATACATCCAAATATATAAAAAATTGTAAGAATCACGATCCACCCAATTTTCAAAATTTCCCAAAACTTTGTATTACCTTTAAGGGCACGTCTAGGGAGGGGAAAACTGAATTCATATAGGGATTAAAAGTCGAGAACAGTAGACCGAGGCGTCTGCATTCTCTAATAATTTAAGGACATGTCAAAGCTTCCGCGCTTTGCGCGAGAGGGGGGAACTGAGTCAAGACCAATAGGGCTAATTAAGAGTCGAAAACGTTACGACGAATCGTCTTCTTTCTCTAATAATTTGATCTAACGTCTAAGCTGGGAAAATGAATTCAGACAAGGATTAAGAGTCGCGAATGGTACAACGAATCGTCTTCTTTCATTAATGATTTAAGGATACATCAGAACTTCCGCGCTTCGCGCGGGAGAGGGGGGGGGGGGGGGGAGGGTGATGATGCCGAAGCGGTTAACTTATATTAAACATGATACTTGTAACTGATGATAATGCATGAAAAAAGTATAGTTTATGTTCCTTCAACGAAACAATATGTAATTATGAAATCGACAGTATATAATACGAAGAGTAAAGATTATACAAATGTTCAATCCAAGATAGTTAATTGAATCTGAAATATAATGCATTAAGATTTGGCGAATTGTAGGTGTGTTCAGGCAAAGATTGCAATTGAAGAAACAATACATATAATTCACAAAGTTTGGCAGTATTATGCCATCAAACAAGTTGAACAGACCGGATGCCACATCATGGCTGGTTCAAAAGCCTTACTAGATAGGGTAAAGCACTTTTTCTGTAGCGTTCTGTCCTACACTTGATTTCACGTATGCTGTTGCTAATATGTCTCAATTGTCTTCGAGAAACACTGGCTCTCAGGTAACCACTCACGAAAGTGACAGTAGAGGGACCTAGCAAAGTTAAGACAGATGTTGGTCTCTTGACATAACTACCATAAAGCTTATGTTTGCGGTTTATTGATTTCAATAACACACGAGTTACCCAAGGCGTTTAACATTTACTCTTTAATGTTACCTCAACTAATGGGAAACATAAATTATATAATTTGAGAAATATTTGACGCCTTCCAATGAAAGCAGATCCTTCCAATCAATTTCAGCCAAGTGTTGCTTGAACCTTGAGATTGTTTTATCATTTATTCTCCGCTTCAAAACCTGTCCATCTCTTTTAAGTTACTACAGAGTCCTTTTTTTTTACACAAAATGTAGGCATATGATCTGAAATATCTGAACATATTACACCTGAGCTAAACTTATTTTGAATGCAGCTTGTGAAAATATTGTCAATCAATGTTGCACTAATTTCAGTTATAAGGGTAGGTATAGTGACAAGAGAAAATAATCCAAATGAGTACATAAAATCAACAAAATCTTTAACACTATGGTCATTATTATAATTTAATAAATTGATGTTGAAGTCACCCATTGAATATATTTCCTTGTTTTCTTTACTCAATATATGTAGCTGATGTTCTAAATTTTCAACAAAGGATGAACTATAATAGTTAGGAAACCTATATACACATCCAACAATAATATTTGTACTGAAGCTTGTTATTTCAACAAAAACAATTTTATACCATGAATCTTTAATGTACAAACATACCCCACCGCCATTCTTTTCTGCTCTACATAATATGAACAAAAGGATAGCCAGGTATCTGAAACATTATATCAGTTGTAGTTTTAAACCAAGTTTCAGAGACACCTATTACAGAAAAATCATGCTTTAAGCAAGACAACAATTGTAACAAATCATCATAATTCGTACATAAACTCCTGGCATTTACATGCAAAAGATCAACATTTCCTAGTAGATTCTGTTGAAATGCACCGCAATCAACATATGCACAATTAACATTATGTTCACATCTTATTCAACAATGGTATCCATTATTAACTATTTAGAAAACCAATGGCACAACAAACTCTATACACACATACAAGTCTGGAAAAAGACTACTCAAGATTGACGTATCAATCCTGAGAGAAGAGGCGTAAATATTCACTTCTGAATGAAAAACGCCTATAAATTAAAACAACAACAACAACAACCAAGATTGACGTAAAAATAAAACACTCACACACCAAACATGCACACACACAGCACACTTGCATACATAACAAAGCACACACAGACATTCACACACAAAAGGACACACACACAGACACACACAATACACCAAATAAAAGAACAAAACTAGCGGTAAAGATACACATATCAATATGAGGAACGCTATATTTTGTCCTCGATCTTTCTTTGCCCGTCAAGTTCATAGTGTATAGACCTATGCATCAATATGTTGACGTTGAGTTAGATTACCGCCAGGGTCGAGTAACGAAAGGGACTGTATACGTTTAACGAGATCATAGTCGTGGTGATAACACAACATGGTAAGTTCTAATTAATCATTTCTTGAGTGTCAACTTTATGAATCTCACATTTGACATGTTCTGTAATTCTGCTCTTATTTTTCGTACATCATGGCAAGGTTTAGTTACATGTTAACTCCGTCTCCAGAATGTTACTGCTATCAATGTGCGCTGGAGTGTTGATGGGATTGTGTGTGTGTGTATATGCTGTGCGTGAAGTTGAGTGTGTGACTGATGAATCTTTGACTGATTTGTCTAGACTGACGGTATAAATTATTATTTACATACATTTGTTGTGTATTGTGTCGATGTCTTTGGTGCAGTTGTGTTTATTACTACTCATACTAATCATAATGGAAGACGATCTGCAAGAAAATATTGGTGTTTTAGTAAATGATTGTAATTATATAGATTGTGCTGATTTCCAGCCCAGGTCCCAAAAACAGTTGAAACCAGTTGGATTTTCAACTGGTATCAACTAGAATCAACTGGTATACCAGTTGATTCCAGTTGACGGAACTGGGATATGTGCCAGTTTATTCTACTGGTTTCAACTGGATTCAACTGGTACCATAATTGTAACCAGTTGACACAACTGGTAAACTACACATGCATGCACCAGTATATCCCAGTTTAAAACCCATTGGGTGGTATTCTCATAAGTTAAGCCGGGACTAAGTCCAGACTAAACAAGAATCTTAGTTCACACTTCTATGGAATGCTAGGTTTCATCTTACTCCTTCAATATTCATGAAACAGATAATCTACCAAAGACTTTGTTGAAATTTAGCTCATACTCATATTATCTTTTTCTTCACATTTCATTGCAAAATTATTTTTTTGGACACTTTTCATTGAAGGATTAAAATAATCTGTACAGGGTAAATTAATTTGCAACAGGCACTCCATAAAAATGTGAACTAACTAAGTACGCGCTAACTTAGTACGCGCTACCGGAATAACACTAATTGACTCTACTGGCACGCTGAAAACAACCAGTTAAAACCAATAAACCATACTGGTATTAAATTGTTACACCAGTTGATACCAGTTAAAAGCAATAGGCCTTATACTGGTACATCTGCCAGTTGATTCCAGTTTAAAACCCATAAAACCAGAGTGGACCATTTGAGACCAGTTATTTTCAGTAGATACCAGTTGAAAACCAGTAGATGATGGCCAGTTGATTTACCAGTTGAAACCAGTAGATGAATACCAGTTCTTTGTAGCTTGTGCATATTCATGCTTAATTTGCATATTTTCACAGAAAATATAATTGTCATGATCTGTCAAACAAATGTGACAATGCACATCAATTTTGTGATTTATATTTTATTAGTCAATCATTGACAAATTTATTATATATGTTACAATTACAGCAAGACGTTTCGAATCCATTTGATGACAGCGATGCTGTCCACAAGCTCGGTCCGTTGGCGGAGCGGTCGTCCGGTTACAAGAGCTGGTTGCTGGGAGTTTTGCAGGGTCACAAATGTCATCGCGTCCTTGACGTAGCCTGCGGATCAGGGTAAGATTCAAACGAAGATGTTGATGATGACGATTGTGATTATGATAATATCAATAATAAAAATAACATAACATATCATGTTCATTATTATAATGATAATGAGAATAATATTACTACTAGGTCTATATGCTACTACTAATAGTACTTATAACAACTTATAATGATACTTAATGATGATAATAATAATGATGATAATGATAATCAAGGGCCTCGTGACCATAGATAACATGTAGCGCGCGTGCGACGCGTTCTTGGTTTTGCCCAACAGAGCGTCACTGGTTCTTGATTTCCAACATATAGCGCCACCCTTCTTTATTCAAAGAAAACAGCGCCACGCGTATTATGTTCAATAAGCTGTTATTTTCGCGAGGGTTTTATTTTCGCGAATTTTCGCGAATTGAAAATTATCGCGAAATTATCAACACGCGAAAATATTACCACCTCATCATTCCTGAGCGCGAAAATATCAGCGTAATATTATCCTCTCGATCGCCAGCGCCATTTGCCTAGCCACTGCCACTACTACGAACATGTACATGCCGCGCCCACACTCACTCAGCTTATTGTGTAGCAGCGGTTGCATTTGCACAGCTTGCAACACTCACTCGGTGATTCCACTTTCCGCGACAGCAAGTGGGGAAGTTATCATTTTTCAAACGTCTCTTACTCTTCTGTAACCGTTGTCAACTTGGTATTTTAATCACCATGCATTACGCTCGCACCCCTATCTTAAAATCGATCAGCCTTCTCGCTCTATATTTGCCGGTACGGTAAGTACTAGTAAACGAGTCATAAACAATGAGAACATTTATGGGCAAAGGGAGAGAAACAACTCACTGAATCTATGATTGTTTGGACCTACGGACTTCATCGTTTCAAAATAAATCTACCACCACAAGTAAACAACATCCACAAACACACATTCTCAGGCATAACACCCCGGTGGGGTCACTCAATGTGACTTCCGGACCGCATGACCGTTACCAAAATCGCGGAAAAAGGGGTCAATTTCAAGCAATGTCCGCGGACAAAATATTCCTTGAAATAAAGAAAATAGGGGTGCACAGGTGTCCCCGAAATTGATAAATAGGGGTCAGGAAAAGGGAAAAGAGAAAACCGGGAAGGGAAAAGAGAAAACCGGGAAGAAAAATTCTCGGAGCCGAGTCTTGTCCTTTAAATATGGTAAAATAGGGGTAAATTTGCGAAAGTGTCCTTACAATCTTATAAATAGGGGTATTCCAAAGAAGGATTTTGTCCTTGTTTTGACGTAAAAAAGGGGGTTAAATATCACAAAATGTCCTTGAAATTGACCGCAAAAGGGGGTTATATGCATTGGTGGTAACGGTCATACGTGTCACTCTTTGCAGGGGAGTGACCCCACCGGGCATAACACCCGTAACATGACACACAAAACAATTTCCACTGCCTGAACGCCCGCCGCACAAGTAAGCAACGTCACACAGTACTAGTACATGTGCTTTCAAAACTACGTCATCGCCACTAGCGGGAATTCCCTATAGTGGGGTTTCCCATATTGGCATTAACGAGCGCCCTATGTGCTGATGCAGAGCTTGTAGTGCGAGTGCGATGCGATGCGATGCTGTGCGATATGTTTTGTGTATGCATGTCGCACAAGCTAACTCTGGTCAGGGAGGTGTGTCTTCTCCGATAGCTTTGTGTATGGTATGTGTAGCATGGCGTGTAGGCATGGCGTAGTGAATTAATACGGAAGTACAGTACAGTACTTAGTACTGCAAAAGTGTCATTCGCGAAAGCAACGACCCGCGAAAATGTCTCTTAGCCTGTCATTCGCGAAAATATCTGTACGCGAAAATATCAGCTTATACAGTACTTGAAAAACGCGCGCTGACAGCTGTTGCCAGCTCTGAAAGTAATGAAGCGCTAGCGTTCATGTCATTACTATTTTCGAAACACACCCGTAGATCTATGCAGTAAAGTGGGGATAGGAGAGAGAGAGAGAGAGAGAGAGAGAAGTGCTGGAACGGTTTGGGAGAGAGAGAGAGAGACAGACACACCGACGCACATGGATCACGCGTACTACTAGACATTATTTTATCAATGTTGTATTAGCTTCATGCTATTACACTGTTGCTGTGGGGAAATGAAAATGCGATACACATAGCTTAGCGCAGTGTAGTCCACGTCCTAACATAACCAACAGATGACGCAGTCATCTTACCGCGCTCATTCACTTACTCCAATCATGGAGTCTAGTAAGTCCATGCTCCAATGATTCATATGGTGGCCCTGAAGGGACATCGCGAATAGACTAAATCGTGAAAAATATGCGATAAAATTCACGATATCGTCAATTTTATCGCATATTTTTCACGAAGAAATTCACGAAATTGACGATATCGTGAACTTTATCGTGAACTTTTCACGATGAAATTGACGATATCGTGAATTTTATCGTGAAAAGTTCACGATATAAAGTTCACGATATCGTCAATTTTATCGTGTACTCTATCGTGTACTCTATCGTGTACTCTCCTGACGGGCGCTTCGTAAACAAAACCAGCCCTAGCTGGGGGAGACAGAGAGAAGGAAAAAAGGGAAAGGGAAAGAGAAGATAAAAGGAAAGAAAGAATAATAAGAAGAAAAGAGGGAAACGGGGGGGGGGGGCGAAGGGCTCTTGCCTCCTCCTCACCCCCCCCCCCCCCTCCCCGCCAAAAAATAAATCAGAGAGAGAGAGAAGGGAAAGGGAAAGGGAAAGAGAAGATAAAAGGAAAGAAAGAAGAAGAAGGAAAGAGGGAAACGGGGGAAGGGCGAAAGGCTCTTACCTCCCCCCCCCCCGCCAAAAAAATAAATAAGAGAGAGAGAGAGAGAGAGAGAGAAGGGAAAGGGAAAGAAAGAAGAGGAATAAGAGGGAAACAGGGGAAGGGCGAAGGGCTCTTGCCTCCTCCCCCCCCCCCCCCGCCAAAAATAAATAAGAGAGAGAAGGGAAAGGTAAGAAAATATAAAAGGAAAGAAAGAAGAGGAATAAGAAGGAAAGAGGGAAACGGGGGAAGGGCGAAGGGCTCTTGCCTCCTCCCTCCCCACCCCCCGCCAAAAAAAATAAATAAGAGATAGAGAGAGAAGGGAAAGGGTAAGGGGAAGAGAAGATAAAAGGAAAGAAAGAAGAGGAAGAAGAAGAAGAAAAGAGGGAAACGGGGGCGAAGGGCTCTTGCATCCCCCCGCCCAAAAAATAAATAAGAGAGAGAGAGAGAGAGAGAGAGAAGGGAAAGGGAAAGAGAATAAAAAAGGAAAGGAAGAAGAATAAGAAGAAAAGAGGGGCTCTTGCCTCCTCCCCCCTCCCGCGCCAACAAATAAATAGGAGAGAGAGAGAGAGATAGAGAGAAGGGAAAGGGAAAGGGAAAGAAAATATAAAAGGAAAGAAAGGAAAAAAAGACGAAAGAGGGAAACGGGGGAAGGGCGAAAGGCTCTTACCTCCCCCTCCCCCCTCCCGCCATAAAGGGAAAGAGAAGGGAGAGGGAAAGAAAATATAAAAGGAAAGAAAGAAGAGGAAAAAGAATAAGAAAAGAGAGAAACAGGGGCGAAGGGCTCTTGCCTCCTTTCTTTTCTTTCTTTTCCTTTCTTTCCTATTCTCCCTCTTTTTCGTTTTTCTCTTTCTTTCTTCTCTTTCCCTTTCCTTCTCTCTCTCTCTCTCTTATTTATTTTTTGGCGGGGGGCGGGGGGACGAGGCAAAAGCCCTTTGCCCCCTTTTCCCTCTTTTCTTCTTCTTCCTCTTCTTTCTTTCCTTTTATCTTCTCTTTCCCTTTCCCTTTCCCTTCTCTCTCTCTCTCTGATTTATTTTTTGGCGGGGGGGGGGGGGGAGGGGGGGGGGCAAGAGTCCTTCGCCCTTTCCCCGTTTTCCTCTTTTCTTCTTCTTCCTCTTCTTTCTTTCCTTTTATCTTCTCTTTCCCTTTCCCTTTCCCTTCTCTCTCTCTCTCTCTGATTTATTTTTTGGCGGGGAGGGGGGGGGGGGGGGAAGTGAGGAGGAGGCAAGAGCCCTTCGCCCCCCCCCCCCGTTTCCCTCTTTTCTTCTTATTATTCTTTCTTTCCTTTTATCTTCTCTTTCCCTTTCCCTTTTTTCTTCTCTCTGTCTCCCCTAGCTAGGTCTGGTTTTGTTTACGAAGCGCCCGTCAGGAGAGTACACGATAGAGTACACGATAGAGTACACGATAAAATTGACGATATCGTGAACTTTATATCGTGAACTTTTCACGATAAAATTCACGATATCGTCAATTTCATCGTGAAAAGTTCACGATAAAGTTCACGATATCGTCAATTTCGTGAATTTCTTCGTGAAAAATATGCGATAAAATTGACGATATCGTGAATTTTATCGCATATTTTTCACGATTTAGTCTATTCGCGATGTCCCTTCAGGGCCACCATAGTTTCACTTACCCCAGTTGTGGGAGTACGACTATTCTGCATGTGCGTATGGGTGGGTGTGTGTGTTTGTGGGCGCAATGCGGTGTGCACTCAACCAGACCAGACGATAGCGAAATCGTGCACAACAGTCCAGGGGGTGGACTAGTGTGTGTGTTGACCCATGGAGTTACTAGCTTAGTAACTCCATGGTTGACCTGAACTTGAACTTTCATTGTGCGAAAGATATATGCAGGGAAAAGCTCGAGTAGTGAACCTGAAAGAAGATTTCTATTAACCAGTTATTCATGTAGGCTCAGTGTTGCCCACCGTAAAGTGTCAGATTAAAATGTATGCCAGTATGATAATGATGATGATCATGATAATCATCAGGCATGGTAATCACTATAATTCCTAATTTGTTTCTGATTTATGTGCAAAAACTGGCCCATGCATTTCTTAATTCAATATTTAAGTACATGCATGTAAACATTTATACATTTAATCAGGTATAAGTACAAAAGAGAATTATCCAAAATATTGGCATTACAATTGTGAAGTAGGCAGCAGGCATACATACAAACACCAGCCCCTAGAACTGACGAAGTCGGAATGGATTGCATTGAATAATTTGTAATTGCTGCAAATCTCTCTCTCTCTCCCCTATATTTCATTGGTATTGTACATATTAAAACATGGAACTTATTTTATGTCTGCATGATAGCGACTCTTTATAGTTTTGTTTAATTTCGCCTCCAATAAGTTCCTACCAGTTGGCGGTACATCAAATTTGTTTGTTATTAGTTGTTTCATAATAGTATATAATAAGAATACTTGTCATTATTATTATAATAATATTAATAATATATTTCTTACGCGCGCCAAATGTACTTGATATCTACTGCCCAAGTCATAATATGTCTAGTGCGAATATAAAAATATCAAAAGCGCCATGCACAAAGTAACAAAAACAGCTGCACCATTTTGAACCACCTGGTACCAGCAACATATTGCAGTAACACTATCACAATTGCTCACTTTCCTTTCATCGCCATATTATTCAAGGTAATTTTTTTTTTTGGTATCATTAATTACTATCATTTTACTTATTCTTAAAACATCACTTTATTGATCATACATTTATTGACCATCATACAAATGGGTAATATTTTAATCACAACGGAAATGTTGTTCTTCGTTAAAGATAAAGTTGAGTTCTGGGGGGTGTTTCACAAAGACTAAGATCGACTTTAAGTTGGACTTAACTATGGCAGGCCGCTAATGCCACTGTTTCTCTCACCATTTACTGGTATTGGTCTCTCATGAGAGTTACAAATCAAAGTCACAAATCTACAGAATTTACACTTTTTGATAGTTCATGATTGAAGGAAAAAATATTATCTAAAGATCATAATTGAGATACCAATAGTGAGAGCAACCAGTGGCATGAATGGCCTGCCATAGTTAAGTCCTACTTAAAGTCGATCTTAGTTTTTGTGAAACACCCCCTCCCCCCTCCCCCCAAGTCATGCGATTGCATTGTGAAAGACAAGGTGTGGATTGGATCAGAAAAAAAAATTGTTGCAAGTAGCATGTAAGTATTGGTGTGTACTGCAAGGTTCTGGAGTCATCAAAATCATAATAAATGTGGCCCAGTCTTGATAAAGTAACAAGCACTGCACACATACAGATGTATATGGGACTACACAAATGATGTCAGGGCTTCTTACCTTGATTTCCTTATCTGTTTATGTTCATTACTCAGCCAGTATACATTTTCTACCACAATCGTTTGGCAAATTGTGTTTATTTGTAGTGTTGAACATTCAGTGTATGTTTTGTTTGAGTCTGTGAGAATTCATTTTTATTTTTTTTTACCAGAACTGAAGTTTATCTTTAAAGTTGATGTTCATTGATTTTAAAAACTAACTTAATTTCATTATTGCAAAGTTGAAACTGTGATTCGACAAGGTTATCAAACTTCAATGCTTGGAAACATTCGAGGTGATTATTATTATAAATTATAAAACGCTTAAATACAGCCCCGGCATAGCACCTGAAGAGCTCTCCGAACGCTCCTGAGATGTGTGAGATCACTGTATGGACACGATTTGCACAAGCAGACGATGTCCCATGACATCACACACATTTTCAGTGCCTGTGTTTACATCTTCTCTTGAGTTCTTTCTCTTACTTCACTACCGTCAGGCTAAAATTATAATCTATTGCCTCACTCTAAACCCCGCACACGGTTTTATTTTGATGACAAATGCACCGATACAAAAATAAAGGAATTTGTCGCTTGTAAACAAAATAAGGCGGTATTGAATATTCAGCTGCACACAGCGCGGTATGTTCGGCGTTTCAAGAGGGAACAAATGCCGTCCTGATATCATTCCGGGGGGTTTTCAATTCGAAAGTCTGGTTTCTTTGATCGTTAATTAACACATATCCTTCGTATTTACAAGCAAAAGATTTTAGTTATCGGAATCGGGTCATATCCCCCTTTGAATGGTTTGACATGCCATTACATTTATATACACTAAACTCATTATAATTTGAGAAATAATAGCTTTGCAATTATGTTCATTCTCTATGGGATGTCGTCTGCTTGGGCAGTGTTGGTCCATATAGTGACGTCATTAAAAACATCGTTATTTTTCCGGCGAATCTCTCGCATATCCCAGCTGCTACTGGAGGTGGTTGTATTTGTATTTTTATAAATCACCCGATATGTAGTTGACCTAAAACTTGTACGGTGGCTATCTGTTAGCTTACCAGTTTCTAGTGATACATTAGTTGACATATTTGTGATTTTCTTTGAAGTTCACCTTTAAACGTTTTAGTATTTGTTAATTATATTGTGATCATTATTACCATCCCTTTGCAGTGTGGACTCTTTATTTCTGCTCAAGCATGAAATGGAGGTTGTTAGCTGTGATGATGCTGAAGCGATGCTCTCCTACGCCAGAGCTGAAAAGGAACGTCTTGGACTTAAAGACTGGGGTAAGGCATGTTTTGATCTTTTTAAACCAAAATAATAGCCAAACTTATACAATCGTAAGGCCATTTTATATATTTTGTGAGTAGCTACGTTTACACTTGTCATTCATGTAAACATTTTATTTATTCTCTTTTATTTTAATACAATATTACTACATACAAGAGCAAAAGAAAATACAAACTTTGACCAATCATACCCTATTTCCCATGAAGTTAGAATGATTTGTTCTTATATCTTTTCCTCAAATGATAGCGACAAACGACAATATGATTCATTCTAGACAAAGTTTAAATCTTCCCGAAACAGATTAATCTTCATTGATCAATAACGTTCTGAGATGGTATCAACATTATATCCACCCACTGTGATAAGCTAATTTATACAAGAACAGTAATCATTACAAAAACATGATGATGCTGAAAACGATGCTCTCCTACGCTACATCGGAAAAAAGAACGTCTGGGACTCTTAGACTGGGGTAAAACCCTTTTGTTTGTTTGAGTGTTTGTGTGTGTTTTTTTTTTTAAATCTTGTTCGTCGCTTGTTTGTCGTTTTTGTTTGAGTTCTAATCGTCATGTCAATTCCATCAGAATTATTATCAACAATTTGAAGTAATTATTATTATTATGAGTAGTAGTAGTAGTAGTAATAGAAGTATTATTGTAATTATAATTAGTATTATTATCGTTATTGTTATACTCGTTTTTTATTATATCATATTGTTGTCATTAACTGTTTTTGTTAATATTAATACAATTGCTACTCTTCTTATTAGTATATATGTATTGTCATTATGACTATTATTATTATTATTATTCATGTTATTTTATATTTAATAATTACACATTACTTCAGTTGATAACATATTAGGCCTGCATTCTTATTAGACAAATACAGGTGTGATATAAGAGCATGTAGAAGTAGTAGTAGTAGTAGTAGTAGTAGTAGTATTGTAAATATATGTATTATTGTTATCATTATTGTTATAATTGTTTTTTTTATTATATGATATTATTATCATTTACTGTTTTGTGTTAATATTAATTCGACTACTATTATCTATTATCATTATTACTATTATTATTATTATTCAAATCATTTATATTCAATATTTACATGTTCACACTACTTCAGTTGATAAGGCCTGCATCATTATTATACAAATACAGGTGTGAACAGACTTGAGAGCATGCCAAAAGAACTGCGACCCTCCATGAGTCTGCAATAATCAGGCAATCGTTGTTTGAGCACGGTCCATTATTTGTTCATGCGCTTTACAAATATAGATTTTTATCTCAGTAGTTTTTGTTATTGATTCCAAACAATACAAATGAATCTCAGAAATAAAATACAGTTGTTTTTCATGAATTCAAAACATTTTCCTGTAGATTGTACGATTGAGGAAAACAAAAATGACATCAGTTGTAACATCAAACGAATCACACGCTTGGGAGAGTAGTTGCCCCACCCCCCCCCCTCCCTAAACAATTCAAACATGCTTTATTTCTAATTCGATACCAGTGATGTACAAAATATGTTGCCAAAACGACATGATTGTCTGCAGTTTTTTCAGCCCCCCCCCCCCCCACAGTTTTTGCTCATTACGCCACTGTTCAACACACGCATTGGTTGTATGTTGACTACTCTTAATATGTCTAAACTCCGTGGTATCTGTATAAGCTGATATTTTCGCGTACAGATATTTTCGCGAATGACAGGCTAAGAGACATTTTCGCGGGTCGTTGCTTTCGCGAATGACACTTTTGCAGTACTAAGTACTGTACTGTACTTCCGTATTAATTCACTACGCCATGCCTACACGCCATGCTACACATACCATACACAAAGCTATCGGAGAAGACACACCTCCCTGACCAGAGTTAGCTTGTGCGACATGCATACACAAAACATATCGCACAGCATCGCATCGCACTCGCACTACAAGCACTGCATCAGCACATAGGGCGCTCGTTAATGCCAATATGGGAAACCCCACTATAGGGAATTCCCGCTAGTGGCGATGACGTAGTTTTGAAAGCACATACTGTGTGACGTTGCTTACTTGTGCGGCGGGCGTTCAGGCAGTGGAAATTGTTTTGTGTGTCATGTTACGGGTGTTATGCCTGAGAGTGTGTGTTTGTGGATGTTGTTTACTTGTGGTGGTAGATTTATTTTGAAACGATGAAGTCCGTAGGTCCAAACAATCATAGATTCAGTGAGTTGTTTCTCTCCCTTTGCCCATAAATGTTCTCATTGTTTATGACTCGTTTACTTGCTAGATTTGATTTGCAAATGGTAGATCGATTTATATTCGATTCAATTCAATTCAGAACTTTATTTCAGACACAACTACACAAGGCAGAGGTCCATAAAACATATGTTACATAGATATATAGGGAGTATAAACGTGATGAGTATAATAACTTTCTCGCGCCAAAATGCAACACATACACACACGGACTCGGTACACGTAAGTACATGTACACACACAAGTTTAAGCAGCCCATACAGTAGAGTACTTACCGTACCGGCAAATAGAGCGAGAAGGCTGATCGATTTTAAGATAGGGGTGCGAGCGTAATGCATGGTGATTAAAATACCAAGTTGACAACGGTTACAGAAGAGTAAGAGACGTTTGAAAAATGATAACTTCCCCACTTGCTGTCGCGGAAAGTGGAATCACCGAGTGAGTGTTGCAAGCTGTACAAATGCAACCGCTGCTACACAATAAGCTGAGTGAGTGTGGGCGCGGCATGCACATGTTCGTAGTAGTGGCAGTGGCTAGGCAAATGGCGCTGGCGATCGAGAGGATAATATTACGCTGATATTTTCGCGCTCAGGAATGATGAGGTGGTAATATTTTCGCGTGTTGATAATTTCGCGATAATTTTCAATTCGCGAAAATTCGCGAAAATAAAACCCTCGCGAAAATAACAGCTTATACAGTAATACAATGCCAGAAGGTCCCTAGAATAACATGCGTATTTATCTCCCTCTTTTTCATTAAAAAAATAATTTCACACTGGTTTTGTTTTATCTCAAAACCGAGGGTGAAAACGAAGTGTACTATTAGCTTATGGCCCTGTACTATACATGTATGTAGGATTGAGACCTTCTACTACCCCTAGGCCCCTCGGATAGTACGGGCCTAGGCTAAATGTAAAGAAATGTTTGCCAATATCACAAAGGGTTCACGTTTATTGTGCCTCTGTGACTCAATCTCTTTTCTGATATCTGTGTGTAGGCAGTTTTCCGGCACAGTCTGGAATTTTACACTAGAGCACAATGCCATAAATTCTTCAGCCAGCCGCTAGTCTCGCTCTGTCAGTGTCTCTCTTTCTTTTATTCCGCTCAAATTAGCTTAGGCCCTTTCATTATCCCTGATATGCGAATACAGACAAACATGTGTATAAAGACTGCTCAGGTTAAACGCAAATAATAATTGATCTTTATGAGCTAGTGGTCTTTATGTACAGGTTCCTATAATATACTACATGTTTCAATTGAAAATATAGTTTGAGGGAAACATTTGTTTTCTTTTGTACTTTTTCTTCGTTATATGTGTAAAGCGCCTTTGTAGAAGGACCTGAACCTTTAATATAGGAGACACCACCATTATTATTACTATTATTATTATAGTATTATATTTATTTTTGCTGTTATTATCATTGTTGTTCTTGATTTTGATGTTGTTATAGTGTTGTTGTTATTAGGTGATACGTACGTAGACGTATCACCTTTTGATTTCGTCAAGATTTTTATTATTATTTATTTATTTATTAGGTGATACGTAACGAAGTCAACGTATCACCTTTTGATTTCGTCAAGATTTTTATTTATTTTTTTTTTATTTATTATTCTTCCTCGAATTTGTTCGCAGGATATCTCAAGACTCAATAAAGCCATTGTTATGAATCTTTCACTGATGATAGATCTTAGTCTAACTTAGAACTGCGTGACTTTTCAAAGACTCAAAGTCATCGTGACGTCATCCAGGCGCCATTTTGTAAAAATCAACTTATGATCATATCTTCATAACGGAAAGTAATTTTACATTCATATTTATCAAGATTAAGATCAATATCCGTCGGATCAATATGAGGTCAATAAATGCGCGCAAAAATGCGCGTACGCGTAGGCGCGCGCGTCAATGCGCGCGTAAAATTTTAAATTGCTCAAAATCGTCTTAAATTTTTTTTGCATACGTTTCAGGCCATTTTAAGCATTTCATAAAAAATCACGCAAAACACGCATTTTTGCACGTTTTCGTTCGTCACGGCCGAACGAAAAATAATTTCTCCGCAAAAGCTCTTGACCGAATATTCCTCATATTTTTCCGGAAAATTTGATACCATGTTTAGCTCTTTATCACTATTAAAAACGGAATGAGCGTCCGTTCAAGATAACCGTCCGTACGCGCGATTTTTGTAATACATTGCATATATGGGCAAAAACATGCCTATGAAAAGTCCATTGGGATGAATAGGGATTGCCAATTTTTTTTTCATATTTAGATAGAGTATGAGTCGGAGGTATGATTTCATATCTCATTTGGCCATTAAGTACATCTTGACGGCATCATAATGGCCTTGGAAGTCAAAAATACAAAATTGCATATTATGACGTCATTGTATTTATGGAAAATGTAGTGTATTTCTCTCAATATTCATCGATTCTCTTTGAAATGTCGATATGTTGTAGATAAGGCAATTCTCTACAAGATCACTTTTCACTAAGTTTCATTTTAATGAGGTCATCATAGTACAAAATTCAATTAAAGGCCACATGTCAGAATTTTCGTCATTTGCGTGTTATGTCTATGGAAGGTGAATTTCGTTCACATCATGAATCTACATGGCATTCATCTATGAGCACTATCTATCTTATGTGTGCTCTGTTTTCTCCCAAATTGGGGTATGTTATAGCTGAGACCATGGGCTATAAAAACGGTGTACTTTGTTTTTCGATCAGATGTTGGGATCATATCGAAATTTTCAATCGA